GCTAGCCTAAAGCTAGCAACAGCAAAAGACTAGTTTTTTTTAAATCAAAAGACAGTGGCTGGAAGAAAAAAGCTGCAAAATGCTAGCAAAAAAAGCACACGACCAGCTAAAGGTATCAATACGCTAACTAGAAGCTAAAGGTAACAAAACACTAGCCTAACGCTAACAGTAGTAAAAGAGATCAAAGCAAACACTAGCTACAAGCTAAAGGTTGCACAATGCTAGCTAAAAGTAGTAAAATCGACCCACAATGCATCACTAAATGACAAGAACATCCACGTTTCTCTCATTTCAAACACAGAACTTTCTTCTTGGCTAAAAGTTTTTATTTGAACATTTTCTAATGTTGACTTTTTCTGTTTTTAACCATTTCGTGACAAGATTAACGGTGACAACATTCAGAATAAATTAAACAAAAATAAAGCGACGTAAGTCAATAATCTGAGTAAATCTATAATTACAACAAGTAAAACACAATAGAAAATAAAGATATTATATGCTGAGTTGTTTTTATTAACCCAAAGTGTAAATGCAATAAAACTATATTTGTCTGGTGTTTCTCAGACCAGGTTTAAGTTGTTTCCTGAACATTAAATGTGTTTAATTTATCTTTAAATTCAACAAATCAGCTCAGGAGTGTCGCCTTCAAGATGATTTTATCCTAATAATCATTTCCAAACAGCCGCCTGACAGTCCCTGAGTTCAAGGTTTAATATCCATCTTTATTTTTTATTATCATTATTTTTATTTGATCGGATCTGGCATTTATTTCCTAAACACAACAAACTAATTGTCTGTTTTCTGAGGTAACAATAAAATAAAAAACGGAGCTTTTTATCACCGAGGTAACACACACCGTTAGGTTTTAATGTCTTTCTGTTGGGCTGATTCACTCCAATAATATTTTTATTTTTCCACATTTCAGACGMAGACTTTTATTCTGTTGCTTTATGAAAGCCATTCTGTCTCTTTCACTTCTTATGAATTATATATTTATACAGTTCCAGCGTGAAGCTTTAATGGAACTGCATCAATCTGGATTTTATGTGCGATAAAGCCCAACTTGTGTTTTTATCTCGCTGTAATCGAAAWGGCCGTACGGTAAAATAAATAATTCATATCAACACGTTGGCTCTAACTGTGGGAAATTTATTAAAATAAGTGCTGTGATTTTTCTACATGTTTGCTAAACGTCTGTTCAGACAAAAGACAAACATGATCAGACGTGTCAGCGAGGGGTTCTGTGGKTCCTTTACCTGCTCTTTCTTTATTTAATCACATCAGATAAATATATTTTATTTGTTTTATTTATCTCTTTGATGAACATAAATTATCTTTGCGACTCAGTTTGGACTCTTCTGTTAGATTTGACAAAGAAACGTTTGAAGAAATGGTTCAGATCTTTCCAAACGGGGGTCCTGTAGAGCAGTTATYAACAGCTGATATCTTACCTGTTGTAGATAACTCTTCAAAGGGCCTCAGCTGAGATTAACTGAGTTTAACTCTTACTGTGCTGATGAGCTAACGGCTAGCATGAACAAAGCGAGGACCAAAGTGACTATAGTCATCTTAAAGCAGTAATAATCTTTAAATATTTTATAAAGATTCATCTTATTTCTTACAATACTGCCAACTTTCCACCACGTGGATTATCCAGAAGAAAAAAAACTCCCATTTCTGTGAAAATAAAAAGGAATACATATCGTCAGCCACCTTTCATGCCAAAATTTAGATTAAAATGATCTGATGTTGAGAGTTTCAGCTGTTTTAAACCTGAAAAATAATGTTATGTCAATATACTTTATCAAAAATATTTAATGATTAAAAGATCTCTACGAGAACTGGTAAAAAATATTGTGATTTTTTTTTATTAAACAATCTGAGAAGTTGCCAGTTCTCATAAAAAATATATTGCATAATGTTTAAATATGAGCTACTTTAAAACAACTGTGATCCCTTTTGTTTRGGTCCTGCTTAGACCAGTAGCTCATCAAAACAGAAGTAAAYGTTGTCCAAAGAGCTARCTYTGACAGGTAAGATATTCACTGRTWCTAACKTTTTCCACAGAACCTCACTGTGTACTTGTTCAGTTTTAGTACAACTTTTTTAATCACCGGATGAGCGGCCATTTTGTCCTCGACTTGAGCTACTTCAGAGAAATGTTTTATTTGAGACGAAAAGTGACTTTTCTGACCCAGAAAGCCAGAAAACTTAATTCCATCACTTTAAAGTGCCTGTCACATCATTTTTCTTTAATAAATACAAAAGCATTTATGGAAAGAAAACTTAGATAAAATATTGCAAAAAAAAAATCCACAATGCTGAGACAAACACTTATTGAGATATTCGCCTGTGAAGTAACAGGAAGTGATGTCATAGGGGACTGTCTGAGTGTTGCTTCTATAACTAACAGAGAAGAATCTGATGTTTTAGATTATTTTGAGTCTATCAGAGATGAAGAGTSAGAGTTTAAATATTGTTTCAATAAACAAAAAACAAACTCTTTTCTTAAAGAGTTCCCCTTTGATGTCACTTCCTGTTTTGCTTTGAGGTAAAATTATGCTAAGTTTCTTAAAAATAAAGATGTTTTCTTTGATTTTTTTTGTACTTAAATGAAACGTACGTCACAGGAACTTTAAGGAGCTTGAAAATAAGGTTTTCTCCTGATTGTATTTAGTTCATTTAGGAGAAAAAAGGAGCTGCTGATGCTTAATTAGATGAGGACTAAGAAGGAAAACAAGAAGTCGATGTGTTTCAGAAGCTCTGGTTTTTTCCTGGACCTGGAGATAATGAGGCTTTAATTATCCCTGAAACAAACGACACAAAATGGGCCGTGTTCTGGCAACAAACCAACACAATTAAAACACAAAGTTTACACCAGACTCAGCTGCTACATGATTTATTCTCCACTTCCTGTTCAATTAGGGTTTTTTTTAAATTTATCAGTTAAGTTGTAATTTTAGTAAAGCAAACTCTGTAAATAAACAAAAACCAGGAGAGGAAAAAAGNCACTGTAAATTATACTATTTGAAATAAACTCTTAATAAACAAACATTTCTTAAAATATATCAAAACAATTTCTCAAATGGCCACCTTTTTAAATAAGACACATTAATTATATTAAAATAAGACTTTTTTAACACTGATCTCAGATCTAAAAAAAAGAAAAAGTCATTCTGCAAGTTCAAAACAGATAACGCACTAACGAGGGTGAAGGGCTGCTTGTCACCTCCATCCTTTCCATCATCAAAGTGTTTGAGATTTGTCTCCTCTCTGGCTAATTTATTGGATTTGTCAAARTCCTCAGGAATRATTTAAGTCCCGATGAGTTCTTAAATGCTAGCTTGTTGTTGTTAGCATTTTAGCAGCGCGGCCTCTGTGCTGCATTCAGGAGATAACGTACATTACATGTTCCCAAGTTGGGAGTAGTTGTTCCGACTTTTTTATGTTTATAATTATAAAGTTTGTGTGTAACGTACATGGTTAATTGGTAAAATAATATTAATAACTCTTAAAATGACTGGTTGTTTTTCATCACGGAGTATTCTTATTACTTTTCTAGTGAGAAAGTAGTTTTTTCCAACGCCACTTGAACTCTGCTCGGGTTGTGCCGGACAGGAAGCGGCTTGACCAAAAAGTATAAAAATAAACACGCATTCTCATCGCCGTGCTGGCAAACGTATATTATTGGTTCTATTTGTTATGATATCGGACCAATAAGTATGACGTCATAATTCCCTGATATCGTGCCGATAACTATAAGCCTGTACCCCTAATTTTTAACATTCGTAATAAAAAAACAACTCAGAAATTGACTTAAAATGTCTTAAAAAAAAAGAAACTGAGTCCAAACTTTCAAATAGAAAATATGCATGAACATGCATACTGCATGCAACTGAATATGCATGTTCAGTTGAGCTGCAGTAACGACATRGTTGTTACTGTTCATGAAGGTGTAGGAGTCAGACCGTCTGGTTCCTGCGTCTGTTTAAACCTGTACAGATGTTACAGATGTGAGCCATCATTAATGTCTTTAAAGACAAAGACTGACAAGATATTACATACAATATATAAATTGTTCAGAACCACATTWCAAAAATAAATGTCTTTAAATAAAGTGTGGGATGTAGAGCAGCTAAATCCGTTAGATTTTAGTTTTACATTGACTCTGAGTCAGACTGCAGAGGAGCTCTTCTTGTGAAAACATGAGTTTCATTTTGTTTCAGTCTTGTGTCTACAGACAGCCTGTCTACAAACTGCTGTTTAAAGGGATATATATGGAAACAAATGAAAGTGTTTCCATGTGAGCTGTGTGAAGCTGACACCCCACCCACGTCAAAAAATTAATCAAATAGTCAGAATGGTTAGTGCTCCGTTTGTGCAGGTTTGTGCCGTTAAAATGGTCGTTTGTGCAATTTTGGTTTCCGAGATATTAAATATTATGTATTTGGTCATCTASAGTTCACCATCACCCCATATCGCTTCAAAAGTAAACCAAAGTGGGCTAGTTCGTTAGTGCTCCGTTTGTGCAGGTTTGTGCWGTAAAAACTGTCGTTTGTGCAGCTTTAGTTTTCGAGATATTTGAAGTTAAAAATTGGCCCGATGACGTCACCATTCCGGAAGTTGCTGTGGGGACGATGACGTCATCGGCTTACACTAAAAACTAGTAATATCTCTAAAAGTATTACAGCACAAACGCTGATTTGAACTGCACAAACATGCACAAACGAAGCACTAATAATGTAGACTACTTTGGTTAATTTTGGAGCTTGCTGGGGGGGATTATAACGTSTTAATGACCTAAAGACATAATGCTTAATATCTCAAAAACTATAACAGCACAAACGSTCATTTTAACTGCACAAACCTGCACAAACGAAGCACTAACCAATCCGCTTACTAGTTTTTATTTTTTGTGTGGGTGGGGTGTCAGCTTCACACAGCTTTCCATGTGGACTCAGCCTCTGACATCAGGGTAAACTTCTTCTCTACTGTTGCAGCTCAGCAAGCAACAGAATCATCGGAGCCAAGGACCACGCTTCCATCCAGCTGAACATCGCTGAGGTAACCCTCAAATAATGACCTCATCGGATCACAGGCTGAACTTTTGACACATTAACAGATGCGTTCTCAAATGTTCTCCAGTATTTTTGTTGATCGGGTGGATGACAGTAAAACTGAAACAAAAAAAAAACAAAACAGTTTCACTAACTTTAATTTAATCCGATGGATTTTTATTTAAAAATGAATTTGCACCAGTTCTTATCGGCCACTCTTAAATGCTGAAAACATGAAATTATGTTTTTCCACCTGTTTGTGGACAAAAGTAAATTAAACGGATTAAACGGCCGTTCGGAATAAGAATGCGTCATGCAAACAGCGTCATGTAAACAGCTCGCTCCGATTATTCTGATCTGATTGAGCTCGATCCGAATGAATTTTTAATCCGAATGAAAAGGGTGGGTTATGCCGATTTGATAATCAGAATGAGGTTTATGTAAACACTTAATCGGATCATCTTATTCTGATTGTAGAAAACTGACCTGTGTGCGCATGTCTGCTGACTTCACCCGGTGGGCCAGCAGCGCTCCAGCTGCGCAGCATCGTGCAGAACTTTTCCTCCTCGCTCTCTTAACAGATGAAAAAGGAGGCAAACAGCCAACGTTGCTTCGCTAAAAATAAAAAACACGTATTGCTTCATCTGCAGGCTGCAGCTCAACCGAGGAGTAACGACGTCTCTACCGTTATTAAAAGCTGACACGGGTCCGTCCTGAGCGCACAGAGGAGCTTTGTTTACGTTTGTAACAGAAGTAGAGCTGAATGTTTACAACACTGCGCATGTCCGGACTTTTATTCTGAATAAAACTCCGGTGCATGTAAACACTTTTCATGATCGGATTGTGTCCATGTAAACAGTACATTCGGATTATTTAATTTGAATACATTTCAATCTGATTAAAACATTTTGTGCTTGTAAACATAGCTGATATAATTTTACTTATTAAAGCTCATATCTTACCACTTGAAACATCACTAGCCCTGAAGCTGCTGGTAGACATCRCGGTTGGAATTATCAAAGGTTTTTGACACCTGAGAGACACCGTAGCAACTCCTTTGTGTTTTGGGGTGGGGGGGTGGAGGGAGGATGATTCAACCACTAGATGTCGCTGAAAACAACAAATCTTACACACTGTGCCTTTAACTTAGAAAACATGAATGAATGAATGAATGAATTTATTTATTTTTGTTCGGGAAAGTGAGCAATTAAAACATAATTTGATGCATTGCACCAGATTTAGCCTAAGGTAGTCCCTGAATGATGAAAGTGTTTTTTGAGACTTCTTATAATTGCCTGTTTTGTATTTGTTTTGTTGTCAGCAGTCAAGTTACTTTAAATTATTTTGTTTAATATTTTATTCAAATTTTCTTTCTTATTAACTTTGATTGCTATGCTGGGCCTTTGAGGGGACGTTTATTTAAATGTGATAACATGAATGTGCAAAATTATCAGGCTAAAGGAAACTGTCATGTCATATACCTGCTGCCTTTAAGAAAATGATGCCATGGTCAAATATTTAAAAATAATGAACAACAAAAAAATGTAAATATAAACTACATCTTTAAACATTCATGTCAGTTTTTTGCTTTTGAACTAAAACAGTCATCTCTCAGTTAACTATATTACAAAATAATATTATCAGATCCATTTAAATTTTGAATCTAAGTGGAAACAACAACAAAATAAAAAATGTTTTGGACTGTGAATAAGTGTAATTCTGCAATATCTGTGGATCTGTCCTGATCTGTCCTTACCTGAGAAGACTCTGCATCATCAKCATTATGCTGCTGGATCTGCTAATGTCTCCTTCCTGACTTTGCTCCTTTTATAATGAAATTAAAGATTTGTTTTAAATATGTGGAAAGCAAGGGAGCACAACTTCTGTACAGAAACAAAAAAGAATTGGGTTTTTCTCATAGCGTTAACTAGCGAGGGATGTAACAAAAGTAACAATAGTAATCTACTCAATAACTACCGGTAGTCATATTGGCATGTATTAACTCAATAATTTAGCTTACATTGGACACCTCCAACAGCATGACTCAACTTACATGGTTTGTTTGGCAAAAACTCTGTAAAGTTTTTGCTTTTTGCTGGTTCCAGCTGGTTTCTGACCCACACGGTGTAGCTCTGCAGCAGCACGTCTCCCCTCGGTGATCCACAGGTGTAAACACCACTGTTAGCTCATGATACGTTTAAAGACGGCTCAGAAAAACACGTTACCGCCTTTTAATAAGAGATTAAACAGTTGGAATGGATAAAAAAGTGCAGGCGACAGAGGGCACAGATACAGGAATTGTGGGAGACATCTCCCACGTGTACCTGCGTCTGTTATGTCCATGGCTTTTATTAAATTAAAAAAAAAAAAGAGAATGGCTCTCAGTGGGGAGCCAGCTCCCATCGTTCACTTCAAATAGCCGGCTCTTGGAGCCGAAATGTTCACGACTGACCCATCACTTCTCTGCAGTGATCAGATGCTGAGGTTCAGTTTCATGTAAATCCCAAACACCTGATGTGTTGCTGCTGTTTTCATCATTCTGACGTCAGCAGGAAAATATATTTTTCTTGGTTCTGAAAGCAATCAGACTGTGGAGCAGCAGATCCTTTCGGTGTGATGTTGAGCAGTGGTTCAAATGTTTGTGTGTTTGTACCCACAATGCTTTGTGTTTTTCAGGTTGACAAGGTGACTGGTCGCTTCAACGGTCAGTTCAAGACCTACGCCATCTGTGGACCCATTAGAAGGATGGTGAGAAGATCTGTGTTCAGATGTTTGTGTTCTTGTTCTGGTTGTTCTCTTTCTGTAATGAAAGCTGTGAATACAAAGTTGTTTAACTCTGAGCTCTGGTTTGTTGTCAGATGTAGGAGGGCTCAGACCGGTGTGGTCTCCCAGATATCCCTGACATCACAATCTGACCCATTTATATCATTTCCCATGCACATCAGTCAGTCACTGATCTGCATGGGTAAAGGAAAATATTTTTGACCATCTTTTATCCTCAGATATTTACACACATTGAACTGTTTAGTTTTTTTTAAAGGTTACATTTTAACTTCAAGTTTTGTCAATATTTATTTAGAGCAGTATTTGTGTTAGCGTGCTTACATCATAGTTGTGAGATTTATGCCAAGTTAAAAAATGTTTTAAAGTCAGTATTTGTATCTATTGATCTTCTGCTCCGTTCTTCCCTCATTCGTGAATAAGACCCCGAGATAAGGGTGGGCGATGTATCGAATATACTCGATGTATTCTGAGTTTTTCAGTGTATGATGTAGAGTTTATTAAATAGTTTATTAAAGAGTTTATTAAAGATTTAGAGCACAATTTTCTTAAAAACCAGAGTTTTCTATTGAATCAATCTACCTGTAAAGATCCGCCCTCTCTGAGACCCTCGAGTGAAAAGTAGAGACTTCGATCTTTAAACCAGTTTTTAAATTGTGTTGTTAGGCCAAGTAGATCCGAAGCGAGCTGCGTCGCAAAGAGGAAGCCCGTCCTGTGGCGAATAAAAATGTACCTCAGTCCACCATTTGTTTTCTCCTCTTGGGCCAGAAATCTAAAACCAGTCTTTTTTTTTCCTAACTGAGCCTCAAAAGTTATTATGATAAGCAGCAAAAAGGTTCAGGATGAAGGGAAAAAAAAGATGCGAGCAGAACTCCTGGTCTAACTCAGTAGGGGAGGGGGGAGGGATGGGGGGCTGCTTCAGAACCGCTTACTGGGTCGTTTTAGCCACAGACAGAACCAACAAGAAGGAAGCGAAACATAAAGAATTAGAGAAAAATCATGAATTCTAAATGCAAATAAATTCTAATTATAATAATAAATTAATAATAGTTTTACATCTAAGAATCATATTTTATTCTTTTTCTCTGTTTTCCTCATTCAGAAACCTATTAAATTTCTGTATTATGTTTTATAACTATAACCAAGTTTATTAATGTAAGAGTAATCCACATTTTTGGGTGTTTTTTCCCCCAGTGTTTAACACAGCAGGCAAAATCAATTGTGAAAATATTTATGATGTGCTTTTTTTAATTTAGCATATTATTTTTAAAAAAACCTTCATTTTATGAAAAGACCTTCTTGATTCAATAGAAAACTCTGGTTTTTAAGAAAATTGCTGCTTATCAATTAATTGTTAGTCCGTCTAAGATAAATCAACTTCAGGCTACTTCACATTAATCGATAACTTGCCTCCCTAATTTATACAGGAATTAAAATAATTTAAATCTACTTATATTTATGTAATTAAGTGTTTTAATGATTTGGCTGATTAATCAAAAAAATAATAGACAGATTTACCGGTAATCGATTATTAAAATAATTGTTAGTTGCAGTCCTAACTGAATCAGGTGTGTTGGAGCAGAGAAACAAGGTAAACATGCAGGATAATGGTCCTCAGTTACTTGAGTTTGACACACCTGATCTGAAGTGTAGACAAAAAGATTGTGGCAGTAATTCCATTTGTAAAACACTTGCGTAAGAAACTTATGGTTAAACCGGTTAAAATAAAACATTTAAATTTGTTCAGATTCAGTATTCTAATGATTTTTGATCAATTTTTAATCATTTTTTTCATTGATTTTTGAAGGTATCAAATATATATCGTTTATCACGATATAGTCAAAATATATTGGGATATAAGATTTTCCTCATATTGCCCAGCCCTACCCCAAGATAATCTCCCACTTGGGGCAGAACCTCTTCCCCGAAACAAAGGAGGCGCTCTACCCTTTCCCGGCTCAAGACCATGGTCTTGGATTTGGAGGCACTGATCCTCATTCCAGCTGCTTCACACTCAGCTGAGAACTGCTCCAGTGGGAGCTGGAGATCAGGATCTGATGAGGCCAAAAGGACCACATCATCCGCAAAAAGCAGAGATGTGATCCTAAGGTCACCAAAAAGGATCCCCTCAACACCTTGGCTGTGCCTAGAAATTCTGTCCATAAAAGTTCTGAACAGAATCGGTGACAAAGGGCAACCTTGGCAGAGTCAAACTCTCACCAGAAATGAGTCCGACTTACTACAATGCGGACCAAACTCAGACACCGGTCGTACAGGGACCTAACAGCCCGTATCAATGGGCCTGGTACCCCATACTCCCAGAGTACGCCCCACAGGACTCCCTGAGGGACACGGTCGAACGTCTGCTCCCAAGTCCACAAAATACATGTAAGACTGGTTGGGTGAATTGTGGTTGAGTTGATCTAAAGATCCACCTCTTCATTTGACTGAAAAATATCAAATATTCATATTTTTATTCATTGTAAACCTGTTGTTATTTAAAGTTATCTCACTGAAATAAATATCGATTTTAAATTTTGTGAATCTCTACAACTACAAGTTTTTTGTAGCACTTTTAGAAGAAGTGCCTTTTTCTCTTTTTATATAGATTTGTTTTGTAGATTAGTGGTTTTGGAGGCTGTCCAGGTGTTTTGTGGTGGTCTGCAGGTGGAGCTGATGCTCCTGTAGGTGATGGTGGTTGTAGAAACAGTCATGATTAAAGCTTTACAAGCTTTAGTTTGGCTGTTTCTGTGGGAGGGACAAATGGGGCAACATTATGTCCTTCAAATGTGAAACCAGAGCGCCACCTAGTGGGCTAATAATATAAAACTCAAAACATTAAGCCAACTTGAATGCATTACTTAATGATGTGATTAATACAGAGTCCCATCGATTTATTCATGGTCCTCGTAAAAGTAGAAAACATTTCTGCTCACACTGAACCAATACTGGACCATGAGGTGCTATATTTGCTTGCAGCTAATGTAAAACTGCTAGGTTTGAAGAAAAAGGAAAGATTTGTTTATTCAGTCCACAAGGCTTTAAATAAATTGACAAACACAAAAACTAGGGATATTCTATCCATAATTTCAGTTAGTTTTGTAAAAAAAAATATGGTTTCAGTTAGTTATTTTTAAATTTTTATTAGTTTTTATTTATTTCAGTTAACTAAATTGTTTTTTTTTTTTTTCAATTTCAGTTTTTGTTGTTTAGTTTTAGTTAACTATAGTAACCCTGCCAGTAGACTTGTCCCTCGCTCACACACATCTGGTTAGAGGGGCTACAGATGTGGGTGAATGTGGGATCAATATATTTCATTCTGCAGACGTGAGCCTTCAGCAGATGAAGGTCAGCCTCAGTTCTGATCCTGGATCTGGTTTTGTCTTGCAGGGAGAGTCTGATGACTCCATCCTGAGGTTGGCCAAGACTGACGGCGTCGTTGCAAAGTATGGAAAAGTTCTGATCCAGTATTTGTTTCCTCTTTCATTCTCTCTGCTGAGTTTTCACATCTTAAAGGAGTATTTCAGACACGTAGAAGTGAGATTGTGTAATTTTTCAACAAGCTCAGTTTGTAAAAATGATAGTTTGACAGGACTGAGGAGCTAACAGCTGGCTCAGAGAGCAGAGTGGACTGCTGTTGACTTTTTCACCTGTTCTGCAGGTTGTAGCGTTTGACAGCAAACAGAGACATGAGTGTTCCAGAGAAGTGTCAAGTTTTAAATCAGAATCAAGTTTATCTGGTCTTTAATGTTGGGACACTCTGCTGTCATTAATGTAATCCAGTGTTAGTGATGAACAGCCTCAGAGTCCAGAGCAAAACCAAACAGACCATTTCTACGTCAACAACTTCATATCTGTGTTCTCCTGTAGTGACACTAAACAGGAAATCTGAGTGGGATTATTTCCATATTTGCTGAAGAGAAAGTGTTTTACTGAAAGTTCAGATCCTTCCTGGCTACATTCAGATTTGTTTGAATCAAACCATAAATAGGCAATGGCAGCTGCTGGGGTTGGTTACGTTTCATTTGCTGCCGGAAGCTTTCTCAGAAAACATCCCGTTTTCACAAACTAACCTCATTTCTTCTTGTTTCACAGGAACATCTGAGCCGTCCAGTTCAGGATGTGGAAAATTAGTTCAATAAAAGGATGAAAACAAACAGATTCTTGTCTGTATTTCTTTAATGAGTCGTGACAAAGTGGTGTGTGGAGAGAAAGGTAGCGACACTGCATTAAAACATAAGGTATTCGTGTAWAAATACGATCTCGAGTAAAATACGATCATTTTTTGATCTTAAAAGGCATAGAAATCATATTATCAATATCCCGTGTATAATACTATCCCCCCACTTTATGGATGATTTTTATGGTTAAATCTCTAGTATTATACATGAATAAATACAGTAAATAAAATAAAATAAACTCTAAATCCCATGCTGAAATGTAACTAAGTGAATCTCAGCTTTTACAAACTCTACTTAAATAATCTGGGTATCAAAATAAAGCAACACTTAGAGATTTAATCAGAAGTGTCAGTATCAAAACAGCTGCTGTGGTTTTAGACATATTGAAGATGGAACATAATTTAATATTTTTACTCTCACCTGAATAATTCTTTCATTAAACAGTATATAACCATTTAAAACCATAATGAATCAGACTAAAAACTCTTAGAA